GGGACACCAGCCTTTCCTGGTCCCTGTAACTGACCCTAACCTGTCAGTACTGCTGTGCCCTGACACTGCCCCTTCTTTTTTCCCTTATGTTATGACCTTTTTGACTTAACTGTGGAGTGACCCTCCCTTAACCTTGACTCTAGAGCTGATTACTTCCTGCAGTGGTCTTCTCTCCTTTTCTTCCTACTAGTCCTCCTGCAGGTCTTACTAGTAGCCCAGAACCACCACCTAGTGAGAAGCTAGCTCCGCACTCCGCGCACCCCACCGCCTTCTGTCCAAGTAAGCAACAAAGCAGCGGACAGAGGAGGAGAGAGCCTCCTGGATGCCTTCTCTTGCGGGAATAGGGCCACAGCGTTCAAACCCTCCCACAGCCATGCCATAGCTTCCACTGCTTCCGAGGAGGCACTGCTCTCCAACGGAACAGCAAGAGTGTAGCCCAGGGGAGAACTACTGTGAGGTGTGGGGCAGGGCTGCTGTAGGGCCTGGGCAGGATGCTGCCAGGAGAAGCTGCTGCAGGGCTGGAGGGGTGCTGCCTCCAGGCACCTCCAGTAAGGTTCTGGGAGGGAGATACAAAGGCTGGAGAGAGAGGACTCACTGGATTGCCCTGAGAAGCGGAGTTACAGTCCAGGACCAGCTGGCCCCTCCTGAACTGGCTGCTCCTGAACTTGCAGGCTCTCTCTTCACCCAACTGACCCGACCCAACACTGCAACACACGACTCAGCGCAACCTGTTGTGAGGGGAGAGATGAAACCGGTCTCAGCCCTTGCCTGCAGGCCAGCAAACTCCAGCCCTGACCCTGCTCTCCGCAAGGCTGCAGCGGTGGCCCCTCTGCCTGGCGCTCACCCAGTTCGTCTCAAGTGAGACAGCGCCCCCCCAACCTGCAGATCTGAACCCCTCCTCTGTGCTCCTTCAACTCAGAGCCCTTCCTCCCGTTGGCCCCGTAAGTTCAGAGCCCCACCCCACCTGCCCCCTTAGCCCTGAGCCTTGCCCACTCACTAATGCCCAGCTCTGAGTCCCACCCTTTGACAGGCCTCCAAAGCTGAGCTGTTCTCACCAACCTTCCCCAACCTCTATCAACACCCCAACTCTCAACCTTGTCAGGCTGACCCTTAGCTTTGAGGTCTACCCTCCTCCCCCATGACCCTCCCCTTCAGGATTTCCCGTAACCCTAACTCCCCGGCCCACCCCACCCCACTGGAAAGCAGTTCCTGTGCCGCTCCAGGTGGCAGAGATGTGACAGTTTCAGGTCGTGACATCCACACACAGGATGCTCTCCCCTTGGGGCAGGGGTGGGGACTTCGCAAAGGACCTGTCCCCCAGCAGATGTGTCACTGCACTTCCCTAGGCAGCCCTGCTCTGCTCCCAGGCCTGGGCCACCTGATCATCCCAGAGGACAAGCCGCTTCCCACTTCACTCCTGGTGACCATCACCCCTCCAACTCCCCCCAAAAACATGAGTGTCTGCCCACACCTGCCTGCTCCGGGTGGTGGAGTCAGGAATGGGCATAGTGGCTGAGGCCAGTGAGACACGCAGCCAGCCCCCGCCACAGTCCAGATCTCACAGGGCTCCCCATCGGCCACTCTTCTTTCACTTTCTCTTCTAGAGGAAACCCTGTCCCACCTTCTGCCAAGGCAGTGACTGCTTCAAAGGATAGAGTGCCCTGAGGGCCTGCACTTCTGTGAGGTGGGGCCCCAGAGTACGTCAAGGTCGTCAAGGTCGAGCTGCCCTCCCTTAGAACTGCAGGCCTCCTCCTGCCTGGACAGGGGGTCAGCAGCTGAATCCAGCTGGAGCTAGACCTGCTGGGGACCAGGCTGCTGGACCCCTCTTAGCTCCACATAATGCTGAAATCCAGGATAGCAGCTGGAATCCTCCAAGTCCTCATGACATGCCCCCTTGTTTCTGATTGCCTTGTATGTTCTCTGGGGACTGGCTGGCTGGGAGCCAGCTGCCCAATGAAGTTCAGCTCGGCCCACAGCCCCACTTAACTTTTTTTTTCCAATATTTATTTATTTGGCTGCATCTGGCCTTAGTTGTGGCATGTGGCCTCTAGTTCCCTTACCAGGGATTGAATCCTGGCCCCCTGCATTGGAAGCATGGAGTCTTAGCCACTGGACCACCAGGGAAGTCCCCCCACTTAACATCTTTTGCCTCTGTGAATGGGGGACAAAGGCAAGGGGAGGATGGATAGTCCCATCTTTTCTTGTAGCTGAAACAATCCAGCTCAGGCCACACTGCAGGGTGCAGCCAGGCCTGCATGACAGGGACCCCCAGATGTCACAGGGCTGTGGCTCAGCACAGCTACCAAGAGTGCTGCCAAGCCTCGGCCTGTGGCATCTGCCTCCAGCTGGATGGGAACCTCCATTTCAATGGGGCAGCACCAGGGGCTGCCAGGAGCCCCCTGCATGGGACCCTGGCTGGGGCTGCTGCTCCTCCACTCTGCCCTGTTCCTGGTCCCGCTCCTCTAGCTAGGCCAGGCTGAGTCAGGGAGCCGCAGGCAGGAAGACCCTTTAGGCCCTGGAAGCTGCCAGGCCCACCGCCAGCTCTGATTCCTGTGACTCTATCTTTTGTGAAAGGGATTTATCAAGCCTGAAGCTCTGTGCTAGAGGTTCCTAGGGCCTAGGCCTGAACCTGATGCCCTCCAAAGGGGCAGGCTGGAGTTTTGCCTGGTAAAACAGAACAATCTCCTGTCTGATCCCTATCAAGTACTAGAACCCCAAAGTCCTACAGGGCAGTTTCTTTATCTGTAAAAAGTGCCCAGTCGTGGGACTTCCCTGATAGTCCAGTGGTTAAGACTCTGCCCTTCCAGTGCTGGGGGTGCAAGTGTGATCCGTGGTTGGGGAACTAAGATTCCTCTGTGAGGTCAAAAAAAAAACAGAAGTGAAAAAACAAAGTGCTCGTCCCTGTCCACTTTTCCCTGATCCTCCCCAGACTTTGACACAAAGAGGGGGGCTGGAATTGGGGTTCCCCTGATTTCCTGAAGTGACCTCTGCCCTCTTTATCTCAAAGGGTCTGAATCAATCCCCTTTCCCCTCGTCCTCAACCCAGCTTTGAAACCAAATTCAAATAAACTTGAGCTCCATTTGTGCTATGGATATTTCTAGGGAAAGAAAATTGGGAAGAAGTTACTTTTTCTGGAAGAGATTTACTTATTCAAACCGGTCACTAGGGCAGCAACTCTGAGCATAGGGAAAAAGGATGGGGAATGGACTGGAAGTCAAACAGTCACTCCTTCCCCAGCATTGACCCTTCAGTTTGGGTCAGAGCTTAAGAGAAAAAGTACTCATTAAGATAACTCAGTAACTCAATAAACATGTTCTCAGGGTCAAATTGTGTGCCAGAAACTACACTGGGGTGATAAGGAAAAGATACAGCCTGTCCTCAGGGAGCTTACAGCTTAGTGAAGTGGCCAATAGGCTGGAAGAGACTGGTCCTGGACACCCTAATCTGAGCTGGCCCTTCTGTCCATCTAGAGCAGCCTCCTTATCTTGGGTGGAGAAGGGCAGGCCCCCAGGGAGGAAAGCCTTGCCCAGTGGCCAGTGAATCAGGGGAAAGGGCTGGAAAACAACAAAGAGCAGGCTCTCGCTGTCATGAGAGCTGAACGGGGTCCCCTTCCCTTGATGTCTCTCCTGCCGAGGAGAGAGGATGGGGCCTCAGCACAGGCGCTGCACACGAACACGGTCACACCCTTGACAACGCACGTTGCCTCCCTTTTCCCCACACAGCCCCATGAGGCAGGCAGGACGGGCTGGTCCTGTCACACACCCCTGCTGAGGCTAAGCGAGGACATGTGGCTGTGTGTGGCAGTGTCCGTAGCATGGAAGTTGGAGCCACATGTTTCAGTTGCTAGCCCTTGATCAGAATGCTTAACCTCTCTGAGTCTCAGTTTCTCCACCTGGAAAATGGGGGTATGTGGTACCTCACAGTGCTGTTCTCCCTGAAGCTAGGACAGGACAGGCCCCTGGGGAGGAAGTGTTCCAGTGTCGGCCTGCCTGGAGTGCAAGGAGCTGAGGATGAAACTGAGAAAACGTTTTCCCTTAAGGTGACCATCTTCCTTCCGGGTCCTGGACGAGGAACTCTGGCCGCTCGAGGGCTGAGGATGTCGAGGGCAGTCCTGAGGAAAAGCTTTCCAGAACAGGGAGTCGAGGGTACCACAGGACTTAAGGAGTTAACAGGGGGCAGGGTGGAGGGCAGCCCCCTCCCCTCCACATGGGCACAGCATGCTGGGACTTGCAGGCTGGCTGACCTCCGTGTGGCGTGGGGGCTGCTGGGAAATGTAGTTATTGACAGGGTCCCGCCGAGGTTCCGCACACCAAGCAGCGGTGACAGCTCAGGAGGTAGGCGGCAATAGCAGGGGGCCAGGAGTGAGTGCGGAGCAGGGAAGCCCGGGCAGGGCTGCGCAGGAGGGACTGGGCAAGCTGAGGGCTGGGTGCCCTGTCCTGAGGCTGTCAGAACCGGACACCCCCGGCCTTTGGCTGATGCAATGTGGCCTGCTGGGCTGCGGGAGGGCCAAGGAGTAACGGGGACACTTGCCCATCTCCAAGGAAAGAGGGACCGGACTGGAGTCCTGGTCCAGAATGAGACACTCCCTTCCTGAGATACATGCAGATACACCCCTGACACCTCCCAGACAGCTGCTAGCAGAACTAACACTGCTCCCCCGAAAGGGAGGCAGAGCCCCCATCCTGGAGCCATAAAGACCGTATCCTCCTCTCTGGTAACGGGACAGGGCACCGCACGTCCAGCAAGTACACTGGACCCCACTAAGGAGTGACTGGATGCCCTTCAGGACAGAGGACGGCATAGCAAATTGCATTTCCCACCAGAGGGAAAGGATGGCAAAGGCGGAGAGGGAGGGAGAGGATGGGGCCTCCTCCAGCAGAGCCCGTCCTCCCTGCCTGTGGTCCTCAGAGGCAACTCCATCACATCCCGGGTGACGTGTTGACCTAAAGAGCCTCCCTTCTGCCCTTTCCTAGGGTGTGTCCGCTCAGCAGGGGCCGGCATGGACCAGTCAGTGGCCATCCAGGAGACCCTGGCTGATGGGGAACATTGCGTCATCATATCCTTCCCTGCAGTCTGCAACTCCCAGCCCCAGGGCCTCCCTGCCTGGGCTTGGGAAGTGGGATGGCAGGTGTCCACGTGTCTTTCTGGTTGCCTCCCTCTCTCTTTGCCATGGGGGGCGGGGTGGGGGGAGGAGACCAGTACTTACTAAGTACTCAGTTCTGAACTCTCTGCCTTGTGCTTTAAATACTCAGTTATCCTCCCACCCCCTGTGAAGCTGGGGGTTGTTATCCCTATTTCGCAGATGAGGAAGGGTCAGAGAGGTGAAGTGACCTGCCCAGGGTCACACAGTAAACCTGCATGGGTGAGGGCAGGGCAAGCCAGGGCAAGGCTCGTGGGGCAGGCTGGGTTGGGTGAGGCCTGGAAGCAGGCTTCTTTTCCGTTTGCCTTGACCCTGAGCGGCAGGCGGTGCAAGGTGTGCTGTGTGAGGGTGACAGCAGGCAGAGCCGCCTTCTGGGACTCGTGCGCTACCGTCCGGGGCGTGGTGGCCAGGAACACGCGTAAGTGATGGGGTTGGGCCTTGCCTATCTGGCCCTGGGGTTTATTATTTTCCATCGTCCCTCCAGCTGGATTTCAAACCCTTTAGGACAGAGTCTGAGGCTTCTAAAATAATTATAATAATGATAGTTAATAGTTTCTGAATACTATATGCCCAGCCCTATGTATTATTAGCTCATACAGTCCTCAAAATTTGATGAGAAACTTCTTGAGGTTAACATACTGCTCCAGATCTTGAACCTTGTGGCCTGACTGTCTTGGATTCAAATCCAAGATTTGTTACCTCTTGAACAAACCTCAATGTGTCCAAACTGAAGATTAAAATGAGTTACTGCATATAAAGTAGTTAAAATGCTTTGAAGCACGTAAAAAGGGCTCCATAAATGTTACTAGTAACACCCACCTGTTACTCAGAAACAGAGCGAGAATAATGATCAAAAAGCTGAAAAGTGACCCTCAGGGTCTCAGATCTGGGAAGGAGGAGCCGTACACGTTTTTGAACCCATCACCCTTCCTTACAGATGGAAAAGCTGAGGTTCAGGGAGGGAGAGGAGGAGGCGAGGATTGCCCTGTTCTTGTCACACACAGTGCTAGAATGCACAAGGGGGAGATTATGCACGGGGTTTACGAACAAAGCGGGGTTCCCCCAAGTAAGGCAAATTCAGCCTTGATGACCCATCCGTCTCTGCTGGGCACCATGTGCAGAGAGGCCTGAGCACAGCCCCAGGGCCCAAGGAGGAAACGCGAGCTGAACACCCTGAGGCTTCCACGGTGGACCTGAGGGGCGGCCACGTGCCCCCATCCTCACTCTGCTTCCTGCCCTCAGTCTCTTCCTGTATACGCACCGGAGGATGGCCATTACCGGGGACGACGTCTCCTTGGACCAGATTGTGCCAGTCACTCGGGATTTCACGCTGGAAGAAGGTGCCACAGTGGGCGGGAGGGGATGATCCCTCTCCCTGGGGCTCCCAGGTCATTTCTGCCCTTGTTGGGGGTGGGGCGGTGGGAGCAAGGATGATGCTCAATGGCTCAGGGCCTGTTCCTTTCCCTCCCTGCAGTGACCCCGGATGGTGAGCTCTACATTCTTGGTGAGTGGCTCCTTCAGTCTAAATTGGGTCCACAGGCACAGGATCCGCAAAGAGGAGTGGGGTGAAGAGCACCCTCTGATCACCTCACTGTGGCACACAAGACCCTGCAGCATTAGCCCCGCTCATCAGTCCAGTCGCTCTCTTCCCTGCCTGCTGAATTTGGAACCCTCTGCTTTCCAAGCACCTTGCACGTGACAAGTTTTCACCACGGAGCCCCTGCACATGCGCTCCCTCCTCCTCAAAGCCCTCACTCCTTCAGGGCTCACTTCACACTGTTTCCCCAGAAAGCCTTTGTTGAACTCCTGAGATTGTCTGTATCCTGAAAGTGGCCCTCACACACGTTCCTTTTTCTCATCCTTGCCACCTCTCTGTCATTCACCGTGATTTAATTACTTATGTGCTGTGCCAAGTCACTTCAGTCATGTCAGACTCTTTACTATGTAGCCCACCAGGCTCCTCTGTCCATGGGACTCTCCAGGCAAGAATACTGGAGTGGGTTGCCGTGCCCTCCTCCAGGGGATCTTCCCGACCCAGGGATCAAACCTATGTCACTTAAGTCTCCTGCATTGGCAAGTGGGTTCTTTACCACTAGCGCCACCTGGGAAGCCCCTAATTATCTATAGTGACCTGTTTAATATCTATCTTCTTTGTTAGACTGTTCAGTTCAGTTGCTCAGTCATGTCCGACTCTTTTTTACCCCATGGACTGCAGCATGCCAAGCTTCCCTGTCCATCACCAACTCCTGGAGCTTGCTCAAAGTCACATCTGTCAAGTTGGTGATGCCATCCAACCATCTCATCCTCTGTCGTCCCCTTCTCCTCTTGCCTTCAATCTTTCCCAGCATCAGGGTCTTTTCCAATGAGTTAGTCCTTCAAATCAGGTGGCCAATATATTGAAGCTTCAGCTTCAGCATCAGTCCTTCCAAGGAATATTCAGAACTGACTTCCTTTAGGATGGACTTGTTTGATCTCCTTGCTGTCCAAGGGACTCTCAAGTGTCTTCTCCAAAAAAAAAAAAAAAAAGAGTCTTCTCCAACACCACAGTTCAAAAGCATCAGTTCTTTGGCATTCAGCTTTCTTTATGGTCCAACTCTCACATCCATACATAACTACTGGAAAAACCACAGCTTTGACTAGATGGACCTTTGTTGGCAAAGTAGTGTTTCTGCTTTTTAATATGCTATCTAGGTTCGTCATAGCTCTTCTTCCAAGAAGCAAGCATCTTTTAATTTCATGGCTGTAGACACCATCTGCAGTGATTTTGGAGCCCAAAGAAATAAAGTCTGTCACTGTTTCTATTGTTTCCCCATCTACTTGCCATGGAGTGATGACTGGATCCCATGATCTTAGTTTTTTGAATGTTGAGTTTTAAGCCAGTTTTTTCACTCTCCTCTTTCACTTTCATCAAGAGGTTCTTTAGTTCCTCTTCACTTTTTTTTTTCCACTAGACTATAGTCACAGTAGTGAAGTAGTAGTCATAACAAAAATATTGATAATAGAAATGAATAATTGATCAATGATGATCTTAGCCAGGTACTATGCTAAGAGCTTTACACACATCAGGTGGTGATTTCCTCACAATTCTATGGGGTCATCATTGCTTTCATTCCTATTTTATGGATGAGGTCATGGACACCCAGAGAAATTAAGTAATTCAGTAAGTGGTGGGACCAGGATTCAAACTCGGACTACAGACCCTGGAGCCCGCACTCTTGATGAGTCTGCTAGATTGCTTCTACTTATTCACTAGCTCAGCACGTGTTCTGGGTGCTCATGTTATGCTGTAAGTCAGACATCATCCACAGTCTGATCTCTTCAGCATGGCATTCCCAGTGCCTAGCATGTCCCTGGCACAGTCGGAGAGACTGACTGACAGACAGCCGCTCTGTCCACCTCTGTGTGCTTTTCATTCCACTTGGGTGGTGGTGGTGGGGTGGGGGAGCAGGTAGACTATAGTTTGAGAACTTGGTCTCTTCTGTCCCCATCCAGGAGGCTGTGGCAAGGCTTACTGGCTTTTCAGAGCCTAGATCCAGCCCCTCTTGTAGACTGAGGGTGATGTTAATTTGGAGCTGGGGGTACAAAGGGCTCCCTATTGTCCCAGCAACAGTCATTGCTGCTGCTGCTGCTAAGTCGCTTCAGTCGTGTCCAACTCTGTGCGACCCCATAGACAGCAGCCTACCAGGCTCCTCTGTCCCTGGGATTCTCTAGGCAAGAATACTGGAGTGGGTTGCCATTTCCTTCAATGCATGAAAGTGAAAAGTGAAAGTGAAGTCGCTCAGTGGTGTCCGACTCTTAGTGACCCCATGGACTGCAGCTTACCAGGCTCCTCTGTCCATGGGATTTTTCCAGGCAAGGGTACTGGAGTGGGGTGCCATTGCCTTCTCCGAGCAAGTCATTAAGTTGACCTATAAGTCAATTGCTTAAGGGTCAAAGGGGCTTTGGGAGCTTGGGCTGCTGACACTCCCTTCTGGGGGCTCCAGCCCAAAGATGCACCTTAGCATCTCAGAAGCCAAGAGCTCATGTCCTGCTTCCCCTGCACAGGTTCAGATGTCACTGTCCAGCTGGACACAGCAGAGCTCAGCCTCCTATTCCAGCTCCCCTTTGGTTCACACACCAGAACGTTCCTCCAGGAAGTCGCCAGGGCCTGTCCAGGTAGGTGAGACCCCAGGCTCCCTGTGGCGGGGGGAGGGAAAGGGTGGCTGGGCATTGACCTCCCCACCACCAGTTGACTTTGCACACTTTGAACTCACACTCCACAGCTTCTGTGCCCTCTTAAAGCTATTGGCATGAGGCCACAGTGCCCCCAGGTCACCAGCTGGCCAGGGTGTTTGCATTTCTGTTTTCCCCTTTCTGGATCTGAGTTTTAACTCCAGCAGGGCCCCTTTGCCCTCCTCGCTCTGAGCAGGGCTGAACGGGGTGAGGTGTGATTCTGATACAGAGTCTTCTGTAAACTAGCAAGATCAGCAGCTTCTGGAGGCCCATCTTCCCTCTCTCTTCCAATGACAACTAGAACCAAGGCAGGTCTGCTCTTGAATCCTGTGCCCCACTGCAACTGAGAAAATGGTCTAGCTTTGCATTAGCAGGGAGAGGTTAGTGGCCTCTAGGGGAGAATTTGTTTAGACTAGGAGATTAGCCAGGCAGGTAAAGGAGAGTTCTGTTCAGAGCAGATGATCAGTCAGAGAGCATGCAAATTCAAGCCACCAGGTGCTGCAGCTTGGCTGTTTACCCAGCACTGCTACTTCTTTCTTTTCTAGCCAGCATCTTTGTTCTGCAGAAATGGTGGGGGTGGGGGTGGAGTGGGGAGAGGGAGGGCTCCCTTTCTATTGCGGTCTCATCACGGAGCCTGAATGTCTGGCCCCTCCAGCTTCATTTGCCTGGTGTGCAGGAAGTGGACTGACTGGATGCAAACAGGGGAGTGTGCGAAAAAGGAAACAAAATTATAGAGCCTTGAGTGCTGAGTTAAAGGATTGATTCTCTAAGCAGTAGGAAATTCATCTCCAAAGCTTCAACTAATAAGGATACCTTGTTTTATGATTATCATTGGTAGTTGTATGAGAAGCAATAATACTTTATAGTTCTTGATTGATACCTTTGCCTGCATAAACACAAAAAGCCTTCAGTATATCTGCATCAAAAATGAATTCTTTAGAAGATAAATGCTCTGATAGAAAACTGAGCAGAGGAGATGGATAGTGCACAAAAGAATACAAATGAACAATATCTTGAAGAAAAAGAAAAAGAAAGCATTTGATAAGGTTTATTTTAAAAAGTAATAATAGTCATAACAGTCAAGAGTATGGACTTTGAAGCTATATGACCTCTTGCATTTTAAACCTGTCTTTGCTGGTCCTTAACCGTGTGACTTTGGGCACACCACCTCACCTCTCTGAATCTTGGTTTTGCAGACATTTCTTTTTCCTTCCAGTTTTTTGAAAAAATATTTATTTGGCTGCACTGGTCTTAGTTGTGGCACCCTGGATCTTTCATCTTCATTGCAGCATGTTGGATCTAGTTCCCTGACCAGGGATTGAACCTGGGCCCCCTGCATTGGGAGCATTGAGTCCTAGCCACTGGACCAACAGGGAGGTCCCTCCCTTTCTTCCAGTTTTATTGAACTCTAGTTAACATACAGCATTGTGTAAGTTTAAGGTGCACAGCATAATGACTGGACTTACATACCTCATGAAATGATTTCCACAATAAATTTAGTGAACATCCATCATCTCATATAGGTATAAAATTAAAGACATAGACAAAAATATATTTTCCTCATGATGAGAACTCATGATTTGCTCTCTTAACAACTTTCATATATAACATACATTAGTGTTAGTTAGACGTATCGTGTTGCACATTATATTCTGTGTGTGCTCAATCACTAAGTCATGTCCGACTCTTTGCAACCCCATGGACTGTAGTCTGCCAGAGTCCTTCTGTCTATGGGATTGCCCAGGCAAGAATACTTGAGTGGGTTGCATTTTCTTCTTCAGGGGATCTTCCCGACCCAGGGCTCGAACCTATGTCTCCTGCATTGGCAGGTAGATTCTTTACCACTGAGTCACCAGGAAAGCCCCATCATATTCCTAGTACTTAATTGTCCTATAACTGGGGCTTTAGACCTTTTGACTACCTTCATGTAATCCCTCCTCCCCCCCGGCATGTTACCCCTCCCTCTGGTGACCACAAATCTGACCTCTTTTTGAGTTTGCTTGATTGATTTCTATATGTAAAGAATATCTTCCTAGGAATTCCCTGGTGATTCAGTAGTTAAGACTCTGAGGTCCACTGCAGAAGGCCTGGGTTTAATCCCACAGACTGCAGAGCAAGGCCAGAAAAAAGGGAATATCCTGGGGCTTCCCTGGTGGTTCAGTGGTTAAGGATCTGCCTTGCAATGCAAGGGACACAGATTCAATCCCACATGTCTTAGGGCAGCTAAGCCTGGCACCACACTACTGAGCCTGCCTGCTCCATCTACTGAAGGCTGAGCACTCTAGAGCCTGTGCTCTACAACAAGAGAAACCCCCGCAAGGAGAAGCCTGCCCACTGCAACGAGAGGACTTCCTGCTCTCTGCACCTAGAGAAGGCCTGAGTGCAGGGACAAAAACTCAACACAGCCAAAAATAAATAAATATTTGGGAGGAAAAAAAAAAAGAGAATACGTTCCTCAGGGAATTGTGAGAATTAAATGAGATAATACATGTGAAAATGCCCAGCACATAGTAGGAACTCAGAAAATATTTCCTCAGCTAACACTCATCACGGACTTATTGTGTATTAGACACTGTCTGAAGAACTTTCAGCACATTATCTCATTTTCTTTACCACAACCCTTCAAGGCAGGTATTATATCTCCATCTTACAGATGAGGAAACTGAGGTTCAGGGAGGGTAAGTGCCTTGTATAAACAATAGAGGCAGGATTAGACTGGATTAGAGAGTCTCCTCCAGAGCCTACCTCTTGAGTTTTGATCTCCTGCATCCTAAACTCATGCCAACCCATCCCATCTAAACTGCTCAGGGAAGATTTCATGTAGGAGGTGTTGTTTAAATGGAGACTTAAAGGACGAGTGAAGTTTCTCCCAAGTAGGCAGCAAGGAGGAAAAGAGACATTTGGAGTTAAGAGCAAGTCATTGGGTGGGACTGAAGTTGGGGTGGGAGGAGGCTGTGGAGCGAGCTGAGCCAGGAGAAGCCCACAGAGATAGTACATGAAGGGTCTTAAATAACCAACAAAGAGCTTGGACTTTTCTATAGCCTGTGGACAGCTGATGGAGTTTTAAAACGAGGAATGACAAGCCAGGATTTGCATGTTAGGAAAATTCCTCTGGCAACTGGTGCAGAAGGGGAGAACATCGAACAGGGAGATCAGTGGGGATGTATTTGCAGTGATTCAGGCATAAAAAATGAGACTTGGACCAGGGCCATCATGCGGATGGGGAGGAGGGATGGACTAGAGAGATCAAACTGATGAGCCCGCAGGTGCCATGGGAACAATGACTTTGGGTTATGTTTACCACTTAACCCTCTGTGGTTACAACAGTGCCTAGATGTGTGCGTGTGTTCTGTCGTGTCGAACTCTGTGTGGCCCCCATGATTGTAGCCTGCCAGGCTCCTCTGTCCATGGAATTTTCCAGGCAAGAATATTAGAAGGGGTTGCCATTTCCTACTCCAGGGTATCTTCCCAACTCAGGGATTAAACCAAAGTCTCTTGTCTCCTGCATTGGCAGACGGATTCTTTACCATTAGTACCACCTGGTAGGCACTTAATAAATATTTGTTGAATGGAGGAACAGAACTTGATGTCTGTCTGTGAGAATGAAAGAGAGAAGAGTTGATGATTTTCCTCCCTTAGGCTTACTCCTCTTCCCTGCTCCTGGGGTCTACATGTGAGGTGACCAGCAAGGAAACTACACTAACTCAAGTTCTCTGAGTAGCTGTCATGATGGACTCCCTCAGAAAGGAATTGGGTGAGAGGGGACTCTCAGAGCCAACAGACTCTTGGAAGTCTACCTGCCCAACCCTTGCATTTTATAGATAAAGGGACCAGAGTCCAAGAAGAGGTTATAGGTGAAAGTAACTAGGTTTTTCCCACTCAGTCCTTGGTGAATAATGTGCAGCACAAAAGGTCAGGGAGTGGAAGTGCCTTGGTCAAGAGGTTGCAGTTAGAGAAAAGAATTAGCCAACATGAATTGAGTGTCTACTGTGTGCCATACATTTTTCTAGATAGTCAGACAACATACAACAACCATGTTCTTCTGTTGAGTCTTTTGAGCAATGCTAAAGTATAAGTATCTGTATTATACATGATAAGAGTAAACTGACACACAGTCCCTTACCTGAAGTCATTCATCAATTGAAGTAATACAACCAGGTTTGGAACCCCAAGTCATACCTCCAAAGCCCATGGAGTCCAGAGATTTTGGTTCAGATCCCAGCTCTGCCACTTGCTAGCTGTGAATGTGAACAATATATTTAGTTTCTTTGAGCCTTGGCTTTACTGTTGTGTGTGTGTTTGTGTGTATTTTGCACTGAGCAGCTTGTGTAACCTTAGTTCCCCTACTGGGGATTGAACCCATGAAGTGAAAGTGCAGTGTCCTAACCACTGGACCACCAGGGAATTCCCAAGTCTTGGCTTTATTATTTGTACAATGGAAATATGAACTTGCCTTACTTACTACTCAAGAGTTTTGTGAGGATCAGATGAGGTGCAGTATGGGTTAATAACATGTAAATGCTGAAAATAATTTAAAAGCCATGTCTGGCAGTCCCATAATCAGTCCTGCAACCAAAGTCTTTTCATTTATTATGTTCTTACAAATCCAATTCAGTTTGGTCAGGGTCATGCAGTTCTACAAGGGGGACAGGAAGGATAGCAGAGGAAACAGCAAGTGTTTGGGAGTCAGGCATACCTGGGTTTGAGTGACAGGCAGAGAGGACTCAAGAATTTCTAGGAAAGAGGAATGGCAATCTGGTTAAGAGGGAACCATGGAGCTTCTCTTGAGGTGTATTTCATAGCAAGCACACTGCTTTTACTTAGAGAGTGTGTTTTTTGGAGAGGCCTGAGGGTTGCTGATGGAGATCATGGGTAGTTAAAGCCTCCAACCGGCTCTCTAGTACTGACATCTATTTGAATTCCCACTCTGCCACTCACTCTTC